ACATTTCTAGCACCAAGGTCATATTTTCCTACTACTGATCTTTCTTCTTGGTTTCCAACTTTTGCAATTCCCAGTAATTATCTCAATTCCCAGTATTTGTCAATACATCTGAACAGTTTGGCAGAATTTTTCAGTTTCATCATCAGTGATTTTAGAGGTTTGTGCATGCATTTGAATCATAGTGGTATTAACTGGTCTTCCTTGTGGTTGTGATGCTATTGTGCTGTGGAGTTGGTTCTGACTTATAATGACCCTGCATAGAGTCTGAGGCTGTAAATCTTTACGGAAACAGAAAGTTTCATCTTTCTCCCATGGACTAGCTGGTAGTTTCAAACTGCTGACCTTGAGGTTAGCAGCCCATCTTGTAACCACTATGCTTCCAGAGCTCCACACATATATGTTGTTAAGTGCCACTGAGTCAATTCTGACCCATAGCGACCCTATATAAGATTCCCAAGGTGAGCTTGAACCACTCACTTTGCGATTCAAACAACTTTGCAGTCCGTCGCATTAACCCACAGCACCACACCTGGACTCCCCCACATATATGTTTGTTGTTATGTGCCGTGGAGTCGGTTCCGACTCACATCGACCCTATACAGGATTTCCGAGGCTGTAAATCTTTACGGGAGTAGAAAGCCTCATCTTTCTCCCACGGAACAGCTGGTAGTTTTGAACTGCTGACCTAGAGGTTCGCAATCCGATTCATAATCATTACGCGACCAGAGTGAGGTTTTCTTCTCCTGTAAGGATTGTAGCCTCGTACACCTTAAACAGGGTTGCTATGAGTTGGAATGGACGCCACGGCACATCACCACCACCACCACCATATATATACATATATGGAGAGAGAGATATGCTTCACTGGTTTTGCTTCTCTAGAGAATCCAAACTTAGATACCACCTGATTCCTTGTGGGTGTAATTAGAGAAAAGAAGCATGTGCTCTGTTCGCTGTTTGTACAGCTCAGTTTAGGGTCAATTTGGCTGATGTAGACTGCTGTCTAGTGGGTATGGTTGTGGTTGGGCTATATGGATCCGGTTGCTGTCTGTTGTTGGGTGGGGTAAGAAATAAAAACATACACATACACATGGGGGGGGGGACAAGCACACAACATAAAAAAACAAAGTAATAAAAGAAAAAAGAAAAATAGGCAACAACAAGAAAAGAGAATATAATAACTAAAAGGAGAAATAAAGAAAAGGAAAATAAAATGCTGAAAGACAAAAATTAGGGAGAAAAAAAATAGAAAACGCACTAAACAAAACTAGGGATAGAGAGAAAGAAAAGAGAAAGAAACCAGAGACTGTAAAAACAAACAAACAAAGTCAAGGATAAAAAAGAAAAGGTGGAAGGAGAGAGGGAAAAGAAACACTGGAAACCTACAATGAACACTGATGCCAAGATACATAGAGCTCTCCAAGGAATTCCGAGCCCACTAATGTTGAAAGGAGACAAGGAGTTTCCCTAGAGCCAGCAGAGAAAGAAAGTCTTCCCCTAGAAGTGGCACTCTGAATTTGAACTTCTAACATCTTGCACTGTGAGCAAATAAATTTCTGTTTGTCCACTTGTGGTATTTATAACATCCCTACTAACTTTATTTAAGAAGATAGCAACAGACCCATACTTGCCATTTCTTTATATTTTCACTGAACCATCCTAAATCTCTTCTAGGTTCTAGTACCAATACTTTCTGACTTATCCTCATATTAAAATCAAAAGTCATAAATGCCTTCTTTCTTTCTAAATAAGATGAACCATTATTTCCTGCACCATCAATATACTGAAATTTATTTAAGTTATTTGCCCAGGTAAACGGAATACCTGAATGGATACAAAATTTCAGAAGGATCAGATCTAGGTCTACAAAGTTGAATCAGTAAAGAACCAGGTATGTGTTGAAAAACAAACTCAAAGTCAGAAAGTCCACTTATGGCCTTAATAGTCAATTCCCAAGCTTCTCCCAAAGCAATCACTATTCTTTCACTGTAATTTCCACTGTTTTCGAATTTCATAGCATACTCTTTGTGTCTAGCTAATATCACTCAGTCCAATGATTTTATATTCAACCATGTTGAATTCATTTATAGATGAACAATATTCTTCAGTATGGCCATTTGTTTAGCCGTTCATTTACTGATAAATATTTGGATTGTTTCCAGTTTTAGATTATTTTGAATGAAAACAAAACAAAAAACAAAACCCACTGCCAATAAGTTAATTCTGATTCACAGTGACCCTGTAAGACAGAGTAGAGCTGTTCATAGGGTTTCCGAGGCTGTAGCTCTTTACAGAAACAGACTGTCTCATCTTTCTGCTGAGGAGTAGGTGGTGGGTTTGAAGCTCCAGCCCTTGTGATAGCAGCTGGACTCTTATCCATCATGCCACCAGGGCTCCTTCAGTTTGAATTAAGTTTCTACGAACACTTTTGTGCCAATACTTGAGTGCATATGTTTTCATTTCTCTTGAGTAAACATGCTGTTATTGTTAGGTGATGTTGAATTGGGTTCCCACTCAGAGATACTCTACTAGTTTCGAAGACTTTAACTCTTCCTGGAAGAAAAAGTCTCATTGTTCTCCCTTAGATCCACAGTTGGGCTTGAATCTCTAGCCTTGTTGTTCATAGCCCAGTGCTTATCCTACAGTGTGAACAGCACAAATCTGGCTAAAAATAGGATGGTGTAATGACTTTCTTATGGGACAGCTGTGTGTTTAACTTTATAAAAACTGTTAAACAGTTTTTCCAAGTGGTTGCATTATATGCAGTTCTGTTTAGAAAAGTCCCACTTATGGATATTCCTATTTGGCTTTTGTTATTGTTGTTAAATGCTGTAGAGCTGGTTCTGACACATAGCAACCCTGTAAAGGGTTTCTGAATCTTTAAAAATCTTTACAGAAGCAGAAAGCTACATCTTTCTCCTGCAGAGCTGCTGGTTGGTTCAAACTGGGGACCTTGTGGTTTGCAGTCCACTGCTTATAATATGGAGTTGGTGCATCCCCATTTGTTGTTATTAATATTAGAAGAGTTCTTTTGCTCCCATTCTTATTCTTTAACACAACTGGCCGGTGTTTATATAGAACCTTCATACATCATGCACTTAGACTAAGTGCATGAAACGACTGTTCTGATTTTGCCTTTTTAATTAATTAAAAGAGCTCTTTTGCCCACATTCTCATGCTAGGCTGTGTCGGCTGCTCTAGTCCAGAATTCCTTTGTTCTAAAATTAAAATACATGCACAAAATCCACTGCCCTTGAGACCATTGCACATAGCAACATTATAAGGCAGAATGTAACTGTCCATAAGGTTTCCAAGGTTATAAAATCCTTATGGAAGTACACTGCTTCATTGTTTCATGCAGAGTGAATAGAAAGTTTGAACTGCTGACCTTTCAGTTAGCAGCCCAACGTTTCCTCTATCCTGCTCCTCTATGGTTTTTTTTTTAAAGTCTTTTATGACTTTTCCCTACAAAGCTACATTAAAAAAATTTTTTTTTGGCCTGGGCTATCAGGATGAGCTAGCACTCAGATAAAACAAACACATTGCCACTAGAGTTGACTTAAAACACAGAAATCTACAATTAAAGTTTACCCATTTGTCCTTAAATGTTTAATCCTATTTCAAAAGACTGAAGCTGAAGCTAGATTCATAGCTATAAAAGAAGCACCTGCAGAAAGTGCATGGCTTTCTGTAAAAATGTATATATGTACATACAGAATTATAGGTAATTGATGATAAATTTTTTTTTGAAGGGGGGCGGGGTGTTTGAGTATAATTCTGCTTTTACTCAAACTTGCCCTCACTTTGAAACACTTGAACAAACCCCCAGTCACAGCAAATTCTTTATCCCAATCACCTTCACTTGAGGCACCTGCAGCTTTTAAATCATTGTAAAGGCTTCTATTCTTTTTTTGCACTAATAGATGGCTAAATAATAACTGTATGTACCTGTTCTATTCACCTACAAATTTCACTTAAAGACTTAAAGATACAGGGACAGATCTTGTTCCTAACCCAGGGCCTGCCTGAAATTATTTAATAAACACTGGGGGAAAAGCATCGAAGAATTGTATTAAACATATTCTATTGGAGTCCTGATGTGGTGCTGTGGGTTAATGTGCCAGACTGAAAAACCGTTTGAACTGCAAGGTTGGCAGTTCAAGCTCACAGTCACTCCTAGGATACCCTATACAGGTTCCCTATGGGTCGGAATCGACTGGACAGCACTTAACAACAACAACAACGTCATAATCGTAATAAAGGAGTCCTGGTGTGGCGCTGTGGGTTAATGCACTAGACTGCAAAGCCTTTTGAACTGCAAAGTTGGCAGTTCAAGCTCACCAGCTACTCTTGGGAAACCCTATACAGGGTCGCTATGGGTTGGAATCGACTGGACGGCACTTAACAACAATAACATCGTGATAAAGGGGCTCTCTGGTAGCGTAGTGGTTACGAATCAGGCTGCTAACCTCAGGGTCAGCAGTTCAAAACTACCAGCTGTTCCGCGGGAGAAAGATGAGGCTTTCTGCGCCTGTAAAAATTTACAGCCTCAGATTTATTACAATAAACATTTGTAATAAAGTCGTTTGAACTACAAGGTCGCTGGTTCAAACTCACCAGCTGCTCCTTGGAAACCCTATACAGGGTCGCTATGGGTCCGAATCAACTCGACAGCACATAACAATAACAACATTGTAATAATTGAAAAAAAAATATTTCAGAGCAGCAATCAAGTGCTTGGTTGCTGTGCTTCCCAATAACTGGCTATTACTTTTCTTCTACAAGAGAAATCACAAGTCTTGACTGGAAGATTTTTTGTTTTACTCATTTTGAGTATATTGCTTCTATCTAGAGGTTCTACTGGTGGGCCCATGCTTAGCTGACAATTAAACATGAAACTTCTCATTGGGTATTTTCAAGACTGCTACAGGGAATCAGCTGCCGGCTTACTGCAGTGTTGAAAACTGCAATGAGGTTCTGGGACTGCAATAAAAAATGCTAATCTAAAAGGTCAAGTAAAGCAGCAGCTCACGTTTTCTGAAGCCTGTGCGCTTGGAAAGCAGAAGCAGACAAAGCCCCAGCTAGAGGAGGCAGAGACACGCTGCGAGTCATTTCGAGTTGGTTTTCCTGAAATAATTTTGGAGTCATGCCTGAAATGCCGGAGGACATGGAACAGGTAAGAACGCGTTGTTCAACAAATGAAGCACCCCAGAGTTGAATGCACTCCTTGTAAAACTAGAAAGGGTGTGTAAAAAACGGGCCATTGATTTATTTAAAAAACAAAAACCACATATAAATAGCCTGCTGACACGGAACAATAACCAACTTTAGTTGTAGATCTACAGAACCAGATTATGGCGTTCTCGGCTAAAACACAGTAATTGGAAAAACAAAAGAGGCCAACTCAGAAGAGCAGTGAATGATGTATGAAAGTTCTGTGGAAGTACCGGTTAGTTTCGTGCTCCAGCTGTCTTTGACTTGGTATGAATTGAATCTGCCAATATAACTTTTAGTTCTCTTTAAATGTGCTGTCTTAAGGCCGAATGCTGAGCATTGTTTGTATAATCGCATTTTACTGGCGTAGTACCATCTTAAAAGAGAATGATTAAAAAACAATGTGATATATACTTCTAGAACCATGTCCAACTCTACCTGGCAAGTAACCAAATTCAAATTCTAAACTTAGGCAAGAACTTTGTTCCCTACTCTAGATATGACTACTTTTATAATCACAATGCAAATTGTGTAAGCATGTCTTTAAATCTTCATGTTGAACGCTTGATTTTTGTTTCCCTAGAAAGGTTAGATTGAATCACACGTTATAAGTAGAAATTTTAAACAAAATTCGTACTGTTTAAAAGATTAAGTGAATGTTTATCCCTCCTTCCCCCACCTCACCCACCACTTTTCTTTGTTGTCTGCTGCTAGTGCTTGTTTAGTACTGGGACACGCCTATCAAGGACTCTCTAAATATGCTAAACTAATTAACAATAACAACTTGAAGTAAAACAAAAAAATCCAAAAGTGACTCCAGTTACAGTCCCAAAGAAACTAGGCTTACACAAATAAGGAAATATGAGTTCTTGTTGGGAGTTGAGTTGTTGTGCTGTCGAGTCAGTTCTGACTTTTGGACCTTGTATAGAATTTCCGTGGAGCAGCTGGTAGGTTTCAACTGCCTACCAAAGTCGCGGAGCTTAGACGTTGAAAGATTTTTTTTTAAGATGCTCAGTCTTTAGCTCTGAAAGAAACAAAAAGGGGTTACGAAAATAATGCCTTCTTAAAAAATAATCTAAGCAGTGGGTACGTTTGTGGGTGACTTTTAGATCTTGGTATCACGTGTGTCAGGACAGCAAAAAAAAAAAAAGTCTAGTCGATTTGTGTGAGTTTGTTTCCTAGGTCTCCTGGATGGCGGGGAATTTCCGCGGGTTTAAAATGGAAAGGGGAGCCCTGGTGTGGCGCTGTAGAATAAGCGCTCGACCACAAGGTCGATTTGAACAGCAAGAACGGCGGTTCAAACTCACCATCCGATCCTCGGAAATCCTATCCAGGGTCTCTATAGATCGGAACCGACTCGACAGCACTTAACAAAGCGAAATCTGTTGCCTGCTAGGTCGGCCTCAACACTCAGAACTATTGTCGAGTTGTTCATTTAAAAAAGCGATCTTGGTGGTAAATTCTTTCCTTTTTTCAGTGGTTGCCCAAGTTCGGCAACATTGACCAGAGTTGCCGGCCCCTGACAGGGTGCTTCTGACAGGGTGATCTTGTTTCTTTTGTTAAGTGCTGTCGAGTAGATTCCGACTCATAGCGACCCTGGATAGAGTTTCGGAAGAGGAGCTGGTGGTTTGAACTGCTGACCTTGTGGTTATGCAGTCCAGTGCTGACCCCACACCGGGAAATGTAGAATCTTGGGCTCTACTACTACAGGTTTGCATTCTCTAGTTTGGGGCAAGCTTGGTCCAAGAAGGCGTTTTGAAGAAGTACCCAAGACTCTATATTCATCCACATGTCGTTTTATTTTTAATCAGTTAAAAATTTCTTCAAGAGAAATTACAGCCAGTCTCCACAGAAGGTGTTTGTGTTTGGTAGTTATGAAATTTCACACATGCTACTTTTTAGCATCCCGGAAAGACAAATGTATCTGTGAGGTGTTGATGACGCAGATGCCAACACTTTTATTTTTGTTCCTATTTTTCCCCTGAATCTCTCAAAACCACACGTAATGCTCTAAAGATAGATGTCCACTGCGCTCACTCCCTCTTCTCTTCCCTCATGACTTTTAAATACTGTATTATATGCATATATTATATGCCCAGTTGATTCTTAAGCACTATGCAATGTTTGCAAACTTGAAACCCCATCCAACACTTTTATCTAAACTCTTCCCAGCTGCTCCTCGGAAACCTTATACAGATAGGGTCACTATAGTCGGAACTGACTGAAGGCGCTTAACAACAAATAAAATTTGTACTGTATTCATGACTATGCCTGGGTGCCATTGTTTTGTGTGTCGCTTTAAGAGTTGACGCGTGGGCTAGGAGCGTCCCATGCGTGCCCATCCCATTTTGGAGGCGTCTACCGAGTGTGGCCAATCAACAGGCGAAATAGTGACGGCGGAAGCCGGAAGCGAAGAGCAGGGGCTGGCCTGGTCGTAGAGAAGGCGGGCAAAGGCGGTTGGAGCTGAGGCCCGCTGCGGCTTGGAGCTAGTGGCTACCGCTGTGGCGGCGTCAGCGCGAAGACAGCGGGCATGGTGGGAAGGGAGACCGAGCTTTCCATCCACTTTGTTCCCGGGAATTGCCGGCTGATAGAGGTTAGAAAATCAGTCTATTAGAGGTCTCCTGAGGGACCCACAGGCGTTAAGGAAAACGAGCCAGGGCTGTGGGGACCAGGTCGCCTCTGTCCCAGCGGTACCCCCGTTTGGGAGTTGCCTCAGCACCGTAGCCCCAATCCTGGGTGCTGAGGGCGGTGCCACTGAGTTTGTTTACCAGGCGCAGACCAGTCAGTGTTTTTTCTTGTAGCCGCTGCGGCAGGAAGCCAGCAGGTCGAGGTTTCACTTTCGGGTCCCCAATCTGAGCTGCCAGGATTGAAGAGGGGGATTTTCAGAGTTGTTTCCTACTTTACTCAATTCCTTTTTATCTTTGGTTGATATTCCTCATCTTAGTACTAGAACCAGTTCCTAGTTCTGTGAATGAAGGGGAGGAGTGTCGTTTCACAATAGATTGACAGTGACAATTTATTGAATTCTTACTTAGTACAGAGAGCATAGTGGTTACGAATCAGGCTGTGAACCTTAAGGTCAGCGGTTCGAAACTACCAGCTGCTCCGCGGGAGAAAGATTTACACCCTCGGAAACCCTGTACAGGGTCGCTATGGGTCAGAACTGACTCAATGGCACTTAACAACAACAACAACAGAGAGCACTGTGGTTTGCACTTTACAGGCATTTAACTTAATAATGAGATACTGCCGTTGTTCCAAAGTACAGATGAGAAAACTGAGGCTTAGAAGTTGAGTCATTTGTCCAAATATATTCAGTAAGGCTGAAGTTGGGATTCACATATAGGTCTATGTGACTATTCCAGACTTTGAACTACTACCTAGTTTGTAGAAAGACAGACAGGTTTAGTAATGTTTGGGAAATCCATTCAAGGGATATCCTCCCCCTTTCATTCTAGACTTCTCAACATTCAATTAACGTTCCAACTTTTGGACGATATCTGTCACTGGGGATGTAAATACTGAATTCCCATATTTATGGATATAAGAGAAAATATGAGATGACTGTTTTTGATATCGCAGACTTTATACTTTTTCAAAATGTTTCCTATTTAGTGTTTTCAAATTCTTTGTGACTTTGAAGGCAAAGTTTAGCTTGATGGACCACCTAAACTTACATTGTTCCTATATAGCCCAAACAGTGCTGAGTGACTAATGAGTGAATAACACATTGTTAACATTTGTGTACATGTGTATGTATAAATATACTTGTGTGTATAGAACAGAATCTATTTTCACTCAAGAGTAAAGTAAACTAAAGGAAATGGGTTTTGCTTTCTTTAATTAGAATTGGAACCACTAAGAGTTTGCCACATATTTCTGTCCTTCTCAAAGCCTGTGAGATTCAGAAGGCCATAGAGTGAGGGGAAAATATAGAATAAAATTCGAGTTCATAAAATCAGACCAGACTTACTGTTCTGATAGAAACTGTTGGAACCCCAGAGACTGTGGCCTTTAGATTAAATATCCTTCAAACCTGGAACTGAAACCACCCCTTGGGAATCACCCTGTAGCCAAACAAAAGGCCTAGAAGTGAACAATAACATTTGTGAGGAACATATTCCTAAGAATAATCAACATGAGAGACCCAAAGGGCAGCATGTGCCCAAAAACAAAGCTCAGAAGGCATATATTTCATTCTTTCCTTTTTCCAGACCATTGTTAAGTTAATGCAAGTGTGCTAAAGTAGAATCATTATCCTAGAGCATTTTATTGGAGTTGTTTCAGAGCAATGTATCTTCCACACACAATGCAGTTTGATATTATTTGATATGATAGTATAATAAGATTTATTTATACAAGGGGGCTCCAAAAAGTTAGTGGAAAGATTCTAAATTTGGCCACCTGAACATGTTGAATCTGTGCACTGGAAAGTGTAAACATTAAGTGACATATGTTCTGAGAAACTTAATAGATGATCCATTTTACCTGTATAACAAAAATTGAGAAGTCCAACTCTGCTCATGGACAACATATTTCAGTTCTTTATTGTGATTTGGGTAAGTCAGCTTTTTATTCGTCCATTCTGCATTACTTGAAGTGTTCGGACAATGTTGTTTTGCTTTTGCAGAACTAAAATAATTTATGGGACAACAGTCAAAATAATTTTTAGAGGAATATTTCTCTTTTAAAAAGCAAAAGCAAAACCTGCGTATTAAACTAAAAAATTAAAAGAGATTTTTATATGTAGAATTTTTAATTTCAGAGTGATGCATGGTTTGTCAGCCACCAATAAATCTGCAATCCAAGTGATACAATCTTGTTTGTATTCAAAACTCGGAAGGTGCTGTTAGAATTTCTAAAGAGATCTGTGTGAAAAGAGGAAAGTCAAACTCTATCATATTTATGCCCTTTGTGCTAAGGATAATAAGGAAATTGTTAGAATTACAGAACTTTAAAGCT